ATTGGGCTGAAATTTGGCATAATGATTCACTTTTGTAATGTATGTAAGTTTGGCAACTTGGCGGCAGACTTTTGCTTGTTTTTTTTTTCATTAAAGTTACGTTGGTGGATAATTTCACAAATCAACTTCTCTAATTAATTAGTCCAACTAAGTATAATAATTTCGAGGTAATCAGTAAATATAAAACCATCACTATTATGATTTTATGAAATGTGACACAAATAAGGTCAAATTTTGTAAAATAAGCTCTCATCTAGCAATGTACTATTGGGAGAGATACTTGCTCAATGAAACAAATTTTATGGTATTTTTTAAAGTGATCAAGCAAAAGTCTGCCCCCAAGTGGCCAAACTTATATACATTACATTGTTTTACTTGGCGGAAAAGTGGTGATTTATTGTCTTTTTTGGGTTGCTGACTTGGCGGGGGAAGTGTTACATAAAACTAACCTTATTTAGTTAAATAAATTTTGGCAATATTATGAAGAAACAATGTTAAAACTAACCTTAGTACTAGTACTAAGTTTCAAGTTCCTAGGTTTCATATGTTTTGATAAGTAGTATTAAACTGTTAAAAATTACGAGCTGCTGTACCAGTGTACCATCGGTACACTGCATTTTTCAATGGAAAGTATCGGGGAATATCACTGCTCTAAGTAATTTTATATAGTAAGTAGCTCAAATCATTCGGTATACCTGAAAAAAAAAACGTTATAAAAGTTTTAAAATAATTCTTCAGCTGATCCTATGAATTTCTCTAACATTTTAAATTAATTGAGATTTAATCGCAGCTGATCCTTCTTTTGTTTTGATTTTAATCCCATGTTATTTAAATGGGCCAAAATCGTACTTTGAGGGCTTGCCAAGGGTTTATGGGTCAACGCACCGACTTGTGACCCTCAAAAGGCACATCTACACGCTAAGGGCTTTCAAACAACATGAAAAACATTAAAATTGAGCCAGTGGTTTCGGCTGTAGGTCCGTCAACATTTAAGGAGAAGAAGGAGAACACGGAAAATTTGTGAATTTTCAAACTAGTTTTTCTTGGCTCAAACACAACCTTTTTTTAAATTCTTTTTTTTATTTAGCCAAGAATGATTGCCCCTATCCAGTGGATGAACAATTATTTTAATAGCTTTTGTTTCTTCAGAGCTATAGACGAGTAAAAAAGCCACTTTGTCACGTCATGTATATATACACTGCAGCAGCTGTGTACCGCTGGGGGACTTGGCGGGGCGGAACGCTGCCGCGTTCCTTAATTTAAAGGGAATTACAGAATTTAGTCAGCTGTTTCAACTAAAAAAGTTGGTTCTATGATATGGAAAAGCATTAAAAGTTATAAGATTTACCAACAGGGTGCAGCACTATACTTTTTTGCATTTATGAAAACAGCTAATTTCAACAAAAAACTGTGATTCGCAATGACAACTGCCAAAGTAGGATTGTTTGCAGTTATGTTTAAGTTTTTCATTTCATGAATAATTTGTGATATTGGATCATTTATTTTTCTGTATTGTTTAGGTGAAGTGGTAGAACATTATGGCTATGGTAGATGTGTAATACTATAGAATACTGTAAATTTAAAAAAGCAAATTTTATCAAACTGTGTCTTCCCTTATTGCAAACGCAAAGCTTGAGTATAACTACAATAAGCATTTTATGTTTATATTCCAACCCCGTACGAAGGACGGGTACTCTGCTAGGCTAGTAAAGCTATATATTTTAGTAAAACATAATCTTTGAATATTCTCAAAACGATAATCATTTGTATAATCATTGCGTGCGATTTCATAAATATCCAACAAAGCATAACTTATAAACCAATCTTAATGTCTTCGCAGGTTGTTCTAGGATTTAATCGTTTTTATCTGAAGTTCTCTTAAAATATTAAGCTGTAAATGTAAATTTCTCAGACCACTGATAGATTCGTCTACTTTCTGAGACCATTAGAATTACATTCTTGTAACTTCGTCCTCTTGAGGAATTCTAAGTAAACAATTAAATACGCGTGGGATGATATGACTCATGGATTAACGTCCGCACGAGTGAGTACTACGACTATCCGTAGTATTATCCTGAAAATTAGACCAATTCGTATATACCAAGGTAAAAATGTGGTTTGGATTCCACTATAAACTGTAGGTAACTTAGTTGCCATTAGCTGTATGGGCAATTAATTATCAGCTGTGTCTAAGGAATAAGTCGGCCTTAGTCACTAACAAGACCACAAGATCTCACCACTCATTCTACACTCATCTCCAATCATACTTGGCTTAAAATACCTACTTTGTGTGGTATTAAAGTATTAAAGTATTTCACTCGTTGTAAATAGATGTACATTTTTATAGTATCTATGTTCGAGTCCTCGTCCATGTTCGTGTATAAATCTACAATATGCGTATCGACGACCTTCTGATGATCTGTTTTTGCGGTTTCGTGAAAAGTTGAAACTATTTACGTCACTGCAACAACATTTTGGATTACTAACCAATTACACAATTTTTTATAAAATATAAATAAAGCAATATAATTTAAATAAATGAAACAATTTACAATTTTAGTCAAAGAAAAGATCTAGACAAGTCTAGCCTAAGGGAACACTTTTGATGCTTATCAATAATATCCAAGTTGAGATCAAACAGCTGTGATCCCTTTTACATCAGAGTAACTGGAGAATATCCCTGAGGCCATCCTGGGAAGATCCTTTGTGAGTTAAATGACACCCAAGGATTTTTGACAGTACTATACCGATTCCTTTATATTGGACCCTTTAAACTTTCATGAACGATATTATAGATTTTGCTGTACAGAAATTATTTATTTTATCAATACGGCGTGCCAAAAGTATGTCTCATTAAAGTATTGTAGTGAATCTATGTAACCAATTTGCTTGTTGAATTTTATTGTATTTGTTTTCTAGATAAAAGTGCTAAAGTAAGCTACGTCTTTGAGATACACGTGTTATAAGTATACAAACATAAGAAACATAGTAAACTAACGTACAAACATAGAAACATACTTTTCTTTTATAACGAAAATCGTCACGGAATCGTCGAAGAAAAATTATTATACCAAAGTTTTGTCAAATAAAACAAATTACCCTTGGTATTACAGGTGGCGTTCCAATCTCTATGATTCATAATTGATGATTGTTATAATACATCTCATGACATAAAACTATAAATATTATACGGTTGATTTATTGATTGAAATTGCAATCATTCGTCCCTACACTAGATCATAAGCTTTAAAAATCCAACAAAATCATAAAATAATAAAAAGTAAGATGGATACAGGGAAACCGAATATTGTATTAAGTATATAGAGATTTTTATTAAGAAACACAACTTCGCCTACATGATATTTGACTTCATTTTTAACATATCAAAATTTATGAGAAAGAAACTATTTCAGAGTCTAAATTGCCAGGTGTAAGAGTAATGTTCATAACATGTTATAAAGAAGATAATTCGAATGTTTTTCGTCACGAAGGTATGATGTGCCAAATATCGGATATATAGGATATACTGTATTGCCTTCTGACACGCTATTGTTATGTTGGACATGCAAGTGTATGTGAATAAATTTATATAGCCTACCATATCTACCTTTGAACCCACCATGATAACATGGTATAAGTAAACATATAAATGGTTTACTTATTGATACATAAAATATCTCAATAGATATTATAACGTGTAGAAGAGCACGAAGGGTTCACCCTAGAGACGAGTTGAAAGCTGTCAATTCGAATTTGTCTATTAACCTCAAATTAGCACATTCTAAGAATTTGTCAAAGGATTCCAGAATTTCGTTGCTTTTCGTTGACTCTAACTTATTGTGGCAAGCCTTAGTTACTTTTTAAACTGAAACATATTAAGGCAATCCCAACTCTCCACTGTTACAAGGCTGCCAGTTTACAGAAAGTGATCAAGGGTTTATTGAACACGAACAAGTTTTGATTGGAAGAGCGCATTTGTTATTTATCTAGTTTGGGAGTTCGAAGGGGATTTCCCAGGGGTATTGTCGACTAGTAAATGTTCAGTGTTCTGAGCAGCTGATAAATATACATGTTAAAGATTCTCAAAACTAATAAATAATATAATTGTTCAGCCTGTTTTTCAGTGAACTGGAGAGATTTTCCTTTTTATTTTATTGGATTCTATGATTTACCTCAAAACTACCTATCAAAGATTATCGTTCTGACCACGATTAGAAAAACATAGCCACTAGTATACTGCAAGGATGAAGTAATGAAAATATATATTTGAAATTAGTAACTATAATATTTTATTTGAAATATAATTGTAATTTTAAAATAACAATATTAGACATTAGAGGTTAATAACAAGTGATTGTGAGACCTAAAACCTTTTCATATAAGTAATTAAGATTAAGGAGATCCTTAAACCTTTATGAATATTCTAAGTTTAATAGGTTAAACAAGCATAGTTTAATAGTTTAATAGCATAGGTTCATTGAGTAAAAAACTTTAAAAGGCGCAAGCTAATTAGCTTACTCTCATAACCCTGAAAGCCCTTCCTGAATTATATAAACAGGACACAAACAATTTAATTCAATCAAGCGTGCATTGTCTATATAAATGATTATTACAACCACACCCAAGACAAGGCACATTAATTTGCTAACATATGCGCATATTTAATAAATATTGCACATGCGGAAATTTTTGAGCAGCTATTTTCTTTACCCATTTATTTTTAATATGATGTGGCAAACGATATCCTCAAACTGACATATACTTTCTTTTATTAGCTTGAAAATGAAATTTAACGGTCCGTTATCCTGTATAGGGATCACGTCCTGGGTTATAATTATTCCATATCGTTAACAACACGCTAAGATAATTATTGTTTATACCTGTGTGACCTGTATAAATAATTCAGCAAGGACTTTTCCTGTTTCATAAGAGCGTGAGCTATTCAGTTTTGAGCCTCTTTAGAACAGTGTCTAAACCATGGATTATTTTAAAAAGTTAAAATGAATCGCCGAGCTTCATACAATCTATCTTTTGAACATGATTGTGCTGCGGGTGAGCTCAAGGAAAGGATTATCAAACTGGAAGATTCGTTTGAAAGAATTCAGTCGCTTCTGAGTAGTTTGCAAGTGGAACGTTTGTTGCAGAACCTAACAGATGTGGAGTCTACTAGACCGGGTAGTTGTGAAAATGAGTCTCAAGGTAATTCAAATACTAGGCGTAGCTCTGCATCAAAAGATCACTTTCCGAAATCCTACTTGACTGACATCACGCAGTCTATAAGTCTTCCCGGTTTTAAGTTTCTTGGAGAGAAAAATCCACCGAGGCTCCAAACTATTTTGTGGGTCGTTATTCACCTCTGGGCTCTGACAGCCAGCTACTGTGTTATCAAGATAGAATTTGACAGATGGAAGAGTTCTCCGATAGTGCGAACGCTATCCAACAATTTGACATGGACTCGTGACATTCCTTTCCCTGCTACAACTATTTGCACACCTTGCTCTGTGGATCGCGAAGACTACCTAAAAGCATTACAGCGATGCTTTTTGTGTAACTCTACTGAGAAAAGCTTTGAATGTCATTACAACAAAGAGTGTACGTTTAAAGAAAAGGCTTCTTTAGCTTTGGCCTCTCTCAGTTTTACGCACGCGAATCTATCGATGACGCCATGGTATGTTTTTCAAAATACTATTCAACAGATTTAAAAACTGTTCAGATAGCCGAGTACGCGAAAAGCTTATTTTCTCCGTACAATTTCAGTTTAGTTCACAGAATTCATATTCGCTACGACCTTAATAACTCGTTTACAAAGTACAAGGAAGGTTTTCAGAGGAATGAGTGTCAATTCTTCTTGTCTGGCAGCAGGATTTGCTTCAGTATAAACGGGGTGAGACACAAGGACATTTTTCGAGAGAGCACTGTAGTGACTTGGCCAGTACAAGAAGCATTTGAAAGTAGGTTAGATGAGGGATACATCGGAAACGAACTTAATCTAGATAATATGGTGTACAAAGGAAATATTTCAACAGTGCCGATCTACATCCCTGAAGAAGGGTATACTCGAACACATGTCAACACTGTGGACGAAAATACTTCCACAGAAGTGAAAAGTTTCAAAAACCGAAACTTATTGTTCCGAATAACGATTCACAATCCATTTGACATCCTGTTTGTGCGTAAGCACAAAATATTTATGGACAAAGGTTTTCCGAAGAGGATAAAAGTCATTCCGAAACTCGTCACCAACGAGAAAGGTCTGGAAGAATACAAGCCTGGCGAGAGAGGGTGTTTTTACTTTCATGAGAGGGAGTTGGCAATGTTCAAGCTGTACAGCGAGACCAACTGTGAGACCGAATGTACTGCTAATTGTTCCCTCCTAAACTGTGGATGTATCCCGTACTACCTTCCTCGACACAACTCTTCCGTGGATGTTTGTCTGACGAAATGTAAGTTTGAGAACTGTGACTGTGGTTGCTTGCCAGATTGTAACTCTTTGTCGTATGACTATGAAGAATTCCCTCTCAAGGACGCCATTGGTACAAACACAGAATATATGTGGTTCATGGAGTTTAAAGAAACACATTTCTACTCGACTGTTAGAGTGAGTGTCAACAGCTTTGCCCAGTTTGTCGCGTACAGTCTTGGAGTTGTTGGAGTGTTCAACGGCTTCAGTGTCATGGTTGTATTTGAGATAAGTTACTTTTTGACGTTTAGGTTGTGGCATTCAGTGAAAGCCTATTTACACGGAATTGATTAGTATTTTAAAAATCAGTTGTACACGCATTTTACATTAATTTTAGATGTTAAGGAAGGTGCGTCAACCAGATAATATAGAGTATCTGCAAATACTTTCTGAAAAATATAATAGTTTCTTCAGTTATAAAAAGTGAAATCTTTAATATTTTGTGTTCAAAACACTATCATTGTAATATCTCGTTCTTTAACAAGAAAACTTAATTATTTTTATCCGGACTTCATTTTTATCAGCAACTATTATTATCAGTTAAAACAGGTTATAGCAATAATAGGTTCTAGTTCCATAGATCATGATTAGTCTCTCAAATTACAAATCATTAAAACAGGTTCATGTGTGATGAAATAAAATATTTACAAAAAAGTCACTTCAAAAATATTTACAAAAAAAGCGAAGCTACATAATAGGCTTAAAAGAATTCATCCCAATGGACTCGACCTTCCAATTAGTTTCTTGTAAAATTTAGTTTGTTTTGTTCTGTGTGTTAGTACACTCGGTGGATTGTAATTAACTCATGTTAAACTGTCATGAAATGTACTTATTGTTCTAGTATAGAACAGATTGTAAATAAATACTTGTAAAAACTTACACATTTAATATTTATTCATAACTAGCTGGCCCGACAGACGTCGTCCTGTCCTAATGTGGTTTTATGTCAAATGCTCGTTCATTTTTGTCACATATGTGTTAGTCTAGTTCATGTTAGTTTTATAATCAATGATGTCTTTATACTGTGTATACTCTGTCACGAACTTAATACTCTATACTACTATCTGGACCATGTCACTCCCACTTCTCTCGTTCTCTGATTAAATGGCTACTTAACTAAATGGTCGTATTAATTGAGCCTTCCCATCTAATCCAATGTTAATTATATAAAACATGTCATGGCGCAGTCTAAAAGTGAAAAAGTATTAAATATATGTTTCAATTAAATAGATGAATATATAAATTAAGATGGGAAGTGAAGAGGAAGGCGATAAACAGAAGAAAAAGACGGCGACTGTGGTTCATCACCATGCACCTACAGGTATCAAACCACCATCAGAATTAGCATGGATAGGTAACATGGGTGACAATTGGAAATTCTTTAAACAGAAATATGATATTTACATGATTGCTTCAAGGGCAAATGATGAAGATAGTTCATACCAAGTTGCAGTTTTATTGAATCTGATAGGCGACAGGGCCTTAAAAATTTTTAACAACTTCACTTATGACTCGACTGAGTCGAAAGACAGTATCAAAGATGTGCTCAATAAATTTGATGGTTATTTCTTACCTGAAACTAATGTCACCTATGAAAGACATAAATTTTTCTTGCGTGAGCAAAAATGTGATGAAACTATCGATCACTACGTCACTGATCTCAGGGACTTGAGTGCTACGTGTAACTTTGGAACCATCACAGATGATATGATCCGTGATAAAATCATTCTAGGTATTAGAGATGTAAATATTAAAGATAGGCTACTTCGGACCAAGGATTTAGACCTCAACAAAGCGGTTGAGATTTGTAGAGCAGCGGAGAGAACTAGATCGCAGCTAGCAGGCATATGTCCAGGTGAGTCTGGTAAGAGTGAAGAGATAAATAAAATTAATGTGGTTAAAGGTAAAAAACATTTTGACAACAAGCAGAGTAGGCCTCCTCAAGTGCTTAGGTCGGACGGTACCGGTAACAAAAGATCAAGCTCTTTTCAGCCTAGGCCTAGACAGTTTAATAATGTGTGCAGTAAATGTGGCTACAATCACCCTATGTTTCGGTGTCCTGCTTATGGCAAAAGATGTAATCTGTGTAAAAAACTTAATCATTTTGCGACTCAGTGCAAGGGTGCCGATAGAAAGGGGTTTAACAAGAAAGTTAATGTGGTGGAGAGTAATGAGGAATTTTTTCTTGGGTCAATTGATGCGTTGATGGAGGGATCGGCAGTTAATGGAAATAAAGATTGGACTGTCCAGCTACAAGTAAATGAACAGGTTGTCGACCTCAAGGTAGATACGGGAGCTCAAGTTAATCTTCTAACTTTGAATGTGTATCAAGCATTAGGTAATGATGTGAACAACTTGATACCATCCAACTGTAGGCTTACATCTTATTCTGGTGAGCTAATTAAGGTTGTTGGTAAATGTAGCTTGCCTTGTTTGTTTAAGAATAATAGGTACATTATTGAATTTTTTGTAGTTGATATTAACTCATCTTGTATTTTAGGCCTAGATTCATGTATGAACTTGAATATTGTTGCAAGAGTTGACCAGTGTTCTGTTAGGCCTACCGTTAGTGAAAAACAAAATGTCCAAGCAGAATGTAGTGGGTCAGATATTTTGTGTGAATTTAAAGATGTAACTCAAGGTATTGGGTGTATTAAGGGGCAACATGAAATCAAATTAAAATCCAATTATGTACCTAAGATACACGCTTTAAGGAAAGTGCCTATTGCACTTAAACCCCTACTTAGAAAAAAGCTGGATGAACTTGTTAGTTCAAACATCATTGCTAAAGTAGAAAAACCAACTGAATGGGTTAATGCATTGGTAATAGTTCACAAGAGTGATAACGATTTGAGGATTTGTTTAGATAATACTGCTTTGAATGACGCTATCATGCGGCATCATTTTCAGATTCCCTCATTTGATGAAATCATGTGTAAACTTGCAGGTTCCAAAATATTTAGTACACTAGATGTTAAGAATGCTTTTTGGCACATTCAATTGTCCGAAAAAAGTAGTGATTTATGTACTTTCATAACCCCTTTTGGGAGGTACAAATTCTTAAGGTTACCTTATGGTCTATGCTCATCGAGCGAGATTTTCAGTCAAAAATTGACACAGATCTTAGAAAATATAGAAGGGGTAGCAGTATATGTAGACGATATCATAGTTTGTGGTAAAGACAAAAAGGAACATGATCAAAGGCTTAAGTTAGTCTTAGAAAAGTTGAGAACCGAAAATGTGAAACTTAATCTAAAAAAGTGTAAAGTAGGGGTAAAACAACTCAAATATTTGGGTCATGTAGTAAGTGAAAATGGTATATCAGTTGATCCAGAGAGGGCAAAAGCCATTGTGAATATGAATGCTCCACATGACCGAAAATCTTTGGAGAGATTTCTAGGTATGATAACATATGTGTCCAGATTTGTTCCTAACGCATCTAACCTAACTGCCCCACTACGCAGTCTCTTAAAGAAAGATATTGAATTTCTTTGGTCATTTGAACATGACCGAGCTTTTGAAAAAATAAAATTGTTTTAGCGAATTTCCCATATAGGGAATAAGCTATTACCGTAGGTCTCATGGTAAGACCTAGACCCGGGACCGATTTACTTTTTCGTTTTGAGGTTCCCAGAGGGCAAAAACACCATCCGTTCAAATTCATATATATATATATATTTATATATATATATATATATATATATATATATATATATTTATATATGTGTCCGTTAGCGCGATAACTCGAGCAAAATTGATCCGATTTTGATGAAATTTGGTACAAACGTGTAAACCTACGTTAATTCGAATGAGTTCGCGAACCAGCATAATCGGACCATGGGATCAGGGGTTTATGGGGGGTTTTATGGGGTAAAAATGGGTTTTTCTAATTTTTGACCCTAAAAACTTTAAATTTCTAAATTTATCTCTAGACCATTTTGAAGAGCTTAAAAAAACAAATAATTTAGTATATTGAAGTGTTTTTAAATGTTCATTGACTACGGAGAAAATTAAAAAAATTGTAAATTTAAAATTCCCATGTTATTCTTATGGAGAATAAATAAACTGTTCTAGTTTGCTTGTTTATGGATATATTTTAATCAAATTTGGCAATTTGGTTTATTTCATACTAAGCTATCAATATTTCAATTGAAAAAACACACCTCAACATCTTCCCCGTAGCAGCAAACCTAACTACTCACTAAAATTAATGTTATTTAAATAGGAAATAAATCTGAAAATTTATAGGGAATATTTTAGTAGAAATCAAGCCGGGTAAATGGAAATTCGCTTAGTATGCAGGTTTGCTGCGACGGGGGTATTTGTCTAATACGCCTGTATTGCAATTTTTTGATGAGAAAAAAACCAGTTGTTTTGTCAGTAGATGCGGCTAAAGATGGGTTAGGTGCGGTAGCACTGCAGGATGGTCTGCCCGTAGCATACGCGTCAAAAGCATTAAGTTCCACACAACAATCTTATGCTCAGATTGAGAAAGAGTTGTTAGCGGTATTGTATGGTTGTGAACAATTTAACCAGTTTGTTTATGGTACTCATTTTACTGTAGAATCTGACCATCTTCCTCTTATTAGTATTGTGAAGAAAAATATTGAATCGTGCTCTCCACGTCTTCAGCGTATGTTGATCAAGTTACAGAAATATGATTTTGATTTGATTTACAAAAAGGGTAAAGAATTGTACATCGCTGATGCGCTCTCAAGAGCACCTGATGAAACAGACACCAATGATATAAGTATTGATGATAATGATTTTGAAGCTCATATTAATGTAGTCATAAGTTCTGTAAATATTTCTGAACCACAGTTAGTTAAGATTGTCAATTGTACTACAAATGATTCTGAGTTGAATTTACTTAAAGGTTATGTGTTGAATGGTTGGCCTAATCACAAAAACGAGTTGCCGTTAGATATAAGAGCATATTGGAATGTTCGAGGTGAAATATCGTTTGTAAGAGGGTTATTTTTCAAAGGTTCAGCAATAATTGTCCCTAAGTCCATGAGACACGAGTGATGTTGGAACGGTTACACTATTCTCATAGTGGCATTGTTAAGTCAAAACTAAAGGCCAAAGATGTAATCTACTGGCCTAACATGAATTGTCAAATTGAAGACATGGTATCTAAATGTGAAGCATGTACTAAATATGCTAAGGAGTATCAAAAAGAGGAATTGTTGCCTCATCAGGTACCATTACTACCTTGGGAGAAAGTTGGAGTAGATCTATTTCAGATTGGTGATAAGTATTTTATGTTGGTAATAGATTATTACTCTAAGTAT